ACAAAAGCAGGCCCCTCTTCACTCCCACTGTAGTATATCTTGGCCAAGGCTGGCACCGGTTTATGAACCTCAACCCAATCTATTAACCCCAAAAAATGCTCCTCTGTTAGAGCACATTTCAAAAAATCATGGACTTCATCAGCTACCCAATTCAACGACTTTTCAACTAGGTCTTCCACTTTTTCCCCACCAAATGGAATGGATAGCACATTTCCAAAGTATGTAGCCATATGTGAGGCTTGGTGACTTCGGTAATTTTCTCGCTCACTTAATCTTGTACGTCCATCAACAACAATGCCCATTTTGCATAATTTTTGGGCATAACCAATTTTAGTGTCAGATTTAGCCACCATCTTCCACAAGAATGCACAAAACGATTCGAGCTTGGTCCTTTTGAACCCATTGGAGCATGCAAGGGCTTGCAGATTATCAAGTTGCTCAACTGTGACGTAGTATATGCGACTGATGAGATGGTCTTGGTCAACATCAGTGTCGTTTTTGGGAGGTGGTAGAGCTGTGATGGGCACGTACATGTCGTTTAGGGAGGGATCAATGTGACCAGGACGACGAGGGTTGAGCAAAGAACGACGAAAAGTTGGTAGCAGAGAGAGTGATTTCGACTGAGCCATCTCAGCCCATGAGACCAGAAACATGTTGGTCGAGTAGGCATCTGCTATGCGATGATCAAACGAGCATGCCACCACCATTCCTCCACACTTGAGCTCAGTTGCCTGTAATTCGTGTTAGGATATTTTGTTATAACGTAAATATGATTTTAACTAAGGTTTTGTGTTTGCAATTAATGAGTCAAGTTTTTCTCGTGGCATTCGATATAACTAAGGTTCCCAAAGTCAAGTTCTAGCTGGTCCAGATTTTATCTATGTCGACATAACATGATCTATCTAGAGAGACAGATACCTGGACAGCCAGCACCCCATGCTTCTTCTTGGGAACCAATTTGCCCTCTATGCTCTCATCAGGGTCATAAAGGTTAAGGTCCTTAAGCTCAACATCTGCAAAGGCTTCAAAAAAATCGACACCACGGTTGTTGCACATGATCTCAGGCTCCCCAACAGAGTTTGGCACCACCTCACCAGAGAAGGCATAGAAAGTGACCAAAGCTTGGGCCATGGCCTTTCTCAGAACCCCAACCATAGACCAGAAGCTCATTCTCTGCTCATTTTTGTAGCAGAAAAACACCCCCACGTCCACAGGAGGCAGAGGCAAGTCAAGGTTGGAGAGTGGCAGCCAATGCTCTTGCAATGGCAGGGCAGCAGCCACCACTTCCTGCTTGCTCACGGTCACCTTGAACTCTCCTCTCTCCATGTTTGATTATTTGAGTGCTATATTGTTTGATATTTTTGTGAGCTTGACGGGAAGAGAGGAGGCAATTTATAAGCAGCCAATAAGCTCAAGACGTTTAAAACGCGAATTTTCTAGCAAGACTAGATAGCCAACTACCCTCCTCTGTTGGGATTAAAAAGACAATAAAAGCCCTCAAAACCTGGAAGATGTTTTGGTATTGTACGGCGGAAAAATTGTTCCCAGTTTATTGTTTTTTTTAAAATTTGTTAGTACAAGCGATGGTCTAAATTATGAGGAGAGACCTTTTGTGAGAGCTTTTTATCTCTCTTTTGTGAAAGCTTTTCATCTCTCCTTTGTGAGAGCTTTTCATCTGTTCTTTGATAGAGTTTTATTTGTATTGTTATAATTTGGTTTTTTCAAGATTTAATTTATTATTATTATTTTGAGCTTGCAATATTAGTGAGGATGTCTATGTCAAAGTTTCTTCGATCATGCGTGATTGTTAGGAGAGGCGCACCAAATTATTTTAATTTTGAGGTTAGACCGCTTTATTATTGTAATGATCCTTTATAGCTAGTTCTAATGAATTTTTTAACTGAATTAGAAATGCAATTTTAAAATTTCTATTTTTTTTTAAATAAAAAAAACTATAAATAGAGAATTTTCCACACATACTTGATACTTAATAGTCAAAAACAATGACACTTGACCAAAAAAAAAAAAAGTCAAAAACAATGACAAAGTATTTGAGTATATTCTTGCCTGCATTAATGGTTAGTGCAAGGCTGCCTGCTCTTGCCTGCCACAGTTTATTGGACTATTAGAACAAAGTCAATGTGCTGTGGATTCTTGCTTTAGCAAATTGGGCCTCGAGGACTGTGGCGTGGGGATTCTATCCCAGTCCAGACCCATTGAAATGTGTGCCTCGTGTGTCGATTCTTGCTTTAACAAACAATGCCCATTTTACCTAAGTTCTACAACCGACCATACAAATGGTACTAAATTTTGCTATAAAAAAGGACAGTTGTGAAACAAATTGGTTCACATAATGGGATAATTAACATTGTGAGCAATTTAAACCCCAAAAGAAGAAAATGTAGCTTAGGCCAGTTGGTGAGAGTGGTGAGTTTACCTTCTTACATTTAAGTTCGAGTTCTTCTCTATGTAAATTAAATTAATTTAAAATAATTTAAATTATCACTTGTAATTAATAAAAAAAAAACCCTTAACTAACTAGAGATATAACCAACATTATACCATATGTTAGTTATACTAATTTGTGATACTAGGAAAATCAATGCATAAAATTAGGTAACCTAGTATAGTAAAGGGATGATATTATTATTATTATTATTATTATTATTAGGTATATTAGAGGATAATGTTGCATAATTTGGTTTTTAGGTAATAATCAATGTCGATATTTGGCGTTCCCGCATTATATGTGCTCATCACCAAGAATGTGTCCATTCTTGCAAAAATTTTACAACTAAGAAAACTCTAACAAACACAAGACTAATCATATGCTTGTAGTGACCAAATATGGTCAAACAACAGTGTATGACATGTTCCTAACACGAGCGGTGCAACATTTAAAATAATTTCTCCAGAGAAAAATATTTATTTTAAAATTACCTTTGCCACGTCAATTGATTTAACGATTTTTATCTGAAAACTAACGGAATGAGGTAACCTTTGTCACAGAATGGAAGTTGAGGGGGGAGATGAGTCATTTAAAATATCAATGGGCAAACTGAGACTATTTGGAAACTACAGGGGGCATTTGAACAAATAAGTCATTAGAAAATGACAAATGGTTAATTTTAGAGTTTTCTCTCCAAATAGGCTTTATAAAAGTTTTTATATAATATGTTATGTTAGAATGAGTACCTATTATCTCCCCACAGCATGAGTATGTCAAAGTAAACATAGATGGTTCTTGGAAACCAGACTCTATCAAGGCGGGATTGGGCATTGTGATTCGGAATACCGATGGTCCTTTTTGTGCTGGTTTGGCCTGTCCCCACTGGAGCAACTCTGCTCTCCAATCTGAAGCAGCGGCGGAGGTTAAAGGTCTCCATCTAACTTCTCAAGGCTGCCATCTGGCCATTGTGATGGAAACTAACTCCAAAGTTCTTGTTGATGGTGTTAACGATCGTACTTGCAACCAAGCCTGGAGCATTCTGCCTCTCTTGGAAGAAATTCGCTTGCTTAGTCAAAACTTCTGCGAGGTCCGATGGAGTTGGGTCTCTAGGAAAGCAAATCGTGCTGCCCAAGGCGGTGTCAATAGGTTTCGGGTCTGTCAAACTGGAAAGTTGGGCCTATCGGCCACCGCAGTCCCCGGTTCATGTCTTGGTGTCGGATGGGCTGCTATGCCCTCCTAGTTAATCTTTGTAAGGTCTCAGTCTGAGTGGGGATAAGCTTCATGCTGGTCTCTCTTGAGTCTTGTCTTGTTTTTCCTTTCTCAGTCTGTGTGGGGTTGGGCTTTTGCCTTCTTTTGCATGGTGGTCTGTATTTGGATTCTAATTCAATGATCATTTCACCATTTCGACTAAAAAAAAGAAAAGAAAAGGAATGAGTGCCTATTTGTATAAAGTCCGAAAGAAATCTCATGATTTTTTTTGGTCAAAGAAGAAATGTCATGATTGTGGAAGGGTGATAAAGATGGAGATGAATTGGAGGAAGAAAAAAAATTCGACACGTATGAAAGTGTATTTGGACTGTGTACACAAATATGTACACGGCCCCTGGTCCCCGCGGACTAGGTCAATGGGACTGCCAATTAGGTTTGGGTGCATGCACATGCAAAACTAAATAAAAGTAAAAACAAAAACAACATTCTTGAATTAATGATTGCAAATATGTGAAAACAAGTAATTGCTCTTTCTTTGAGCTTAGTGTTAAAGATCACTTTCGGATATGCTTAAGATCACTTTCGGCATATGTATATGTCACCTCTCACGTTAAAAACGTTATTAACATTTTGATTTATTAGGGAAGTGCAAGGCACGTGGCTTTTTACCTTCGGACACGTGCATGCCCTAAATTGAAAAGGACCAACTTTCTTCAATTAATAAAACAAGTTGGCTTTTGTCCCAAAACTGAAAGAAAGTTAGATTGAATGTAAAAACAACAAGTAAGAAGAAAAAGAAGGAGAATTTGGCAAGTACTTTCCAAAAGCGGAATCAAGAATTTTCTTAAGTTTCTCGTTTATTATTTGCGAATAGTTTAGTTGGTTTTTTCTTGAAAGTTGCTTAGACAGAATGAGCCAATTTGTTTTCTTAAAAGTTGTGGAACGAGTAAAGTTTTACCGAAATAGGGTAGAATAATTTCCACCGAATATAGGATGAACTTCCGTAAATTTAACATCAAGTTTCTATTTTTCAAAAAAAATTACACTCTAGAATCAAGAAGGTGGGTTTCAGACGATCTCATGCAGCTCAATGACAAAGGATTAAGGATTTCGACCTAAAAAAGGATTAAGGATTGGCATACGCCTTTCCCAGAGTAGAAAAAGATGCAAGGATTAAGGATTGGCATACGCCTTTGCCCTCGCCTTGACGCATGTTACTTGCTGACTTGAATGACTCTTTGCATAAAGAAAAGTAGACTTTTAGTATGTTCTTTTGTAGACATTATTGGACGCTACATTTAGGTAACTCAGTTAAATAGTAAATAGGCGAAACACTTGGGTATATAATAATTGGCTAACATATGATATGAACCATATGCATGCATGTTTTTGATACAAACAAGACATACATATATATAGTTGCAGCAATCATGCTACTATTAAAGATAATGACATAGCTAATGGTTGTGGTAACACTAATATTCAAATTTGACTAAGATAATCAAAAGTCAAGGGTCTAAACACATGAGCAGCCTCCTTCTCTATTAACTCCAACTGCCCTTTGAAGATGTGCATGTACACAATCCAGTCACCTTTCCTAGCCGGACTCGGCATTGGCATCACATACCCGGCATTGCCGCCCCACGGGAAATGGTACGACCCGAAAACCGGCAGTCCCCACCCGAAATCCACCTTCGAAACCGGAAATCTTTGCCCCGATGACACCACAAAAGCGGGGCCCTCTTCACTTCCACTGCTGTATATCTTGG